ATCTTGCATAATAAATTTCAGAGGCACAAAAACTCTAGCTATCCTAGGGGTTTTTTGTACTCTTGCTCTCATCTGTGCTTTTTCAGCTGCAAGGAAGGGAAGCTGCCTCCTGCTATGAGCTCCCTTCTTTAAATGCTCCTGGCATGGGTAACTTGCTGGATATAATCACTGAGTTTGTCTTTGCAAATTAAAACGTGAAGGCCTGTGCATCTTTATTGCCCTTTTCTCCATCTCAGCTTTTCTATTCTTCCTCCATTACAGCACCAGCAGGAGCTTCCCACAACTTCCCTGCTTTACAGAGACCTCTTACAAAAGGGTTCTCACAGAGTATGATCCTTTCATATTCAGAGTCTCCATCTTGATATTTTCTTGCATAATGAGTGTTCACATAACTCCTTTCCATACGATAACCTATCAGTTTTTTTACTATGTTTTACTACAAAGTAAATCTTTCTACCAGATCACCTACCCTATAGTTGATAGGGATGAGACGCATAAGGGGATGTGGGCACCTAACTACCACTTTAAATGTCTGAGTTTAAAATTCAGGTTATAAAACCTTTTGCTCAGCTTACCTAAATCTGGATGTACTTAAACCACTTTGGCACTTGAATTGCTCCTAGAATCCCACTTATCTGCCAGGTTCAGCTACCGGATAATACCCAACCAAGGTCATACAGCTCTGCTTCAGTCTCTGTGACCTCACAGTTCACAAGGTCCTTACACAGTTGTTGACTGTGGATACTAATGAGTATTATCCTTAAAACAGATCTGCTGGATTAGGCCTAGAACAAACACGTTGAGGTGGATATTTCCTGCACACAATGCACTCCTGCACTCCTTATACAGACGCTATGCTAAGCGTGCAGAGGAAAATCTCTGTTAGCTATGTGAATGGAGGAGGGACAGGACAATAATGCTGTTGCCACAAGCAATTCACATATCTTGGTCCTGGATAAGGGAAGAGCTCCTGGGACAGGAGAATCCAGATTTGCAGCGATGGGTTCCTCCCAGGGGAATAAGTAATACTTGTCTGTGGACTGTAGCAGGATTTACATACCTGACTTTATTAAATCAGGTTTACATTTGAATTGGGGATATTTCTAGTAACTGCTGTATAGCTGCAGACAACAATAGATTAAGGATCTTAATTTTCAGGAAGGAAAAAGAAAGGAAAAAGACATTTTTGGCATATCTAGAAAATAAGCAGCACTCAGTTGAATCACAGAATCACCAAAGTTGGAAAAGACCCACAGGATCACCCAGTCCAACCATCCACCGATCGCCAAAACATCCCAACTTTCCTCACTGTATCTTCCATCCTTGACTTATCCAGTTTCTTAAATAGGGACATGACTACATCAGGTATTCCTGGTTCATGCTGGACCGATCTCAACATGTACGACAATTAATTTTTACTGGAGTGCTTCTTCATTGCTTTAAATTTCTCATGTTTAAAATTTTCCAGTAAAACATATTAGCCGTTCCAATCTTTAACTATTAAGCTTTTAATAGAAATCCATCTCACCAGATATCTTCTTGCAAACTCTTGCAACTCGACGGGAGATTCAAGTCAAATGAATCACACATCATTTTTTTCTATTCGATGAAATATACAGTAGTAAAAAGAGTCTTTCGACAATGTCAGACAACTTACAGCATGGAAAGCTTCAATCATCCTTTTAATTAGCAGAGCAGTAATAATCAAAGCTCTTCACAAATTAAAGAAAGCGGACAGTTAGATGAAATTAAGTAAGTCCATCATTTCTTCAGAGCAAAACAATGAAGGATACTTACAGTGTTAATTAAAAGATTCTTGAGATTTCTCTAAAATAGGGAGTAAAATGCCAACATGGAAAATAACAGTCTGCAGAAAATGTACAGTGGATTATATCACATACGGATCCGAACACTGCTGTGAGTTGTTTGTAGTGAATATCCTTGTCCTTGGCAAATCAGAATGACTGACACCCATAATTTGCAATTTCCTAAACCTGAAGAGTTTTCTGATTGCAATGAAATGGTTTTACCTAATTATTTTTTCAAGTTGCAGTTTTTGATGTTTAATTTTGAAATCAATTTGAGATGTCTTGAACTATATTAATACACTGTATTATGCCTTCATTTCTTTTTGAAGCACTTTACTTTAAAAAATGCATACTTCTAATGATTTTTAAATTACTCTACTCTGCACATATCAATTTACAACAATTACAACATTTTGCATTTTTCAAAGCACTTCAGTTTTAAAGAGGTTTTATGCCTTGCAAGATACTGAGGAAAGAGGCTGCTGATCCATTTTTACCCTTTGTAAAATTACCACCAATCTTGCTAGAGAGCTTAACCAAAAATAGATATGCTAAATATATACCATCTACATATAATCATTTTAGGATGAATGTTTTTGTGACTAAGAACTGCCAGTATTCTTTTCCCAATCATAATTAGGTTGCTTCAGTGGTATAAATGGATTCAGTGGAAGTATGACAAATGTCCTGGAGTAAGGAGGATGAAAACTGGCCTACTTTGGCTGAACAGAGTCTAGAGAAGTGAATACAGGATGGAATGTCAGAGGCATCAGCTCTGTCACAGAATTCAGGCTATAAGTTCTAACATGAAATCTCATCACAATAAATTAATGACACGGGGCTAGATTGTCACCTGGAACACTGGCTTTGCACAGTGACACCACTGCAGTTATGCCAGTTGATGCTAGCTAAGGATCTGCTCCCCTCAACAACTTTGCCATCCGTTTTGATGTTTTACCCCCTTACTCTAGGCTCCACATTATACATCTGAGAACAGAGGATGAGGTTTTCTCTCCAGTTTGTTGATGCTGCACCTTCAATTTACAAGTTTCCTTTCTGCCTGCCAGCAAGTACATAGTATTCACAAGTTTGATTTTGTCTTTTCGAAACACACTGCCTATTTGCCTCAAATCCAAATGACTCATTAACATCAAGGAATCACAGACATTAAGTAGAAATTTGACTCTCCTGATGTACTACCAGGCTTACAACACTATCAGTGACACCTCTAACGCAGACGGATGTGACAGTGCACATGACTGTCTGGCCATCCATCATGTTGCAGAGCCTCATGAGCCTTGTGTAAGGGCACCTGGAAAGGTGAAGTGGGCCAGGAGGGGATACAGCTACAGCTCTGAGCAAAGACCTGCTGCCATTCCTCCCTACCTCTTAAATGACCGCCCTACTGCCTAGCGGAGACAGGGCAGGAAATCCTCTGTATCATGTGCTGTGATTGGCTGACACCTCTGTCTGAGCTGGCTGAGGGCTGTCACCCTGCTGGACTGATGCTCTGAGAACCCCAAGGCTGCCCTTGGAGGTGCAGGGGCAGGTCTGTGTGCTCTGCAGGGGATTCCCAGCTCACACAGGCCAGGCATGCTGCAAATTCTGCATGAATGTGCCAGCCCTAGGACTTGTTATGTGCTTCCATAGGACGAATGAACTAGGAATAAGCTAAAAGTACGTGAGGAAAGGGATAAATTAGATACAGAGGAATCAACATGTTTGTTGATGGTGAGGAAAGCATCCTGTCTTGATAACACAGTGGACACTAGGGACACAGAGAAGCATTTTCCCAGCTGGTGTATGAAGGTAAGAAAAAAGTGACTTTTCTTCCAGAAATTCAACGAAGCAGCTTTGAAGGCGAGAAAAACATGAGAACTACGATCCTAGCACAGAACACGAAAGCTTCTCTGCAGTTATTCATTAGCTTTTTGTTCCCTTAGTATCTAATTGCCCCATGTAGCTGACACAATGGAACCACTGGAGTTTAACATCTCTTTTCAAGCTACAGTAGTTTCAGGCTAGAGCAGAATTAGTTTGCGTACTTTTTGAGGAAAAAAAAAACCTAATAAATTACTGGCAACATTCCTAATTATTTGCTTAATCAATGGAAGTCTTATTTTAGCACGTAATAAAAGACATTAAAAAAATGCAAGCTGAAAGCCAGTAAAAATCAATTCTTATCAGAGCAGGTACCCTATCTAACAGAAACCACACGTGCTAATTTTGGAGTATGGAATGAGTATGGGGTCTGTGTAACAAATACTCAAAATTATCAACACATCGATAGTTTGTGTCTGAAAAAGTTATAATGGAGTCTCAGCCTAAAAATCATAATCATGAACTTTAAATAAATGAAATTTAAACTATTCCATGTGTTCTTCTGAAGGATGATTTCTAAGAAAAATTGGTGACATGGACCACTGGTTGTATTCCACAGCATTCAGCAGATCTGTCACTTAGATCTCTGTACTAGGATGCATTACTCATCATCTGAGAATCTAGTCTTCTGAGCTCCAGAGGAAAAAAAAAATGGCAGTACCTACTTTAGTAATGATATGCTCCATTACAGAGTAAAATATCCTGAGTGCTCTTGATTCAAGAAAACGAAATGTAAATGTACAAAGCACATAAAAAACCCATTTCAACTCTTAATCAAATTCAGCAGGATTAAACTCTGATAGTCTTCTAAGAAAGAAAAGAGTTTCTATTCCAGCATGAGAGAACAGATGACCATTTCTGTTTAAATATTTTTTGACAGCAATTTCCTACTTGTGAGTCACTGAATTCACACTACGATATCCTCCCAGTCTCTCTCAGGATTGTATATTTCCTCATTGCATGATCCTGATAAGCACTGAACACCTCAGGAGAGAATCCTGCTTAACTCCTGTCCAAGCTGGGAGCCACTTGCACTCTTGCAGGCCTACCATTCTCACTGTCAGGCAGTCAGCATCCTTGCTGCAAAGGAAAAGCCATTTTTATCCTTGTTGGCACAAAACCAGTTGTTGCCAAACCCACTGGCGTATTTACCAAGAAATTGGCATGCAATGTCACAGCACCCGGCTCATCTCTGTCTTATTTTTCAAAGCAATACTCGCGCAGCAACAGAAACTACTTTCCTTCACAAGCCAAACAGCAAGCATAAACTTTTAACTGGCTTAATTGTAAAAAGACAATCAGCAAACAAACCTGTAGAGCAGTCAGAACCCGTCCACTGTGGCTCACAGCTGCAGAGCCCCACGTCCAGGAGGAAGGTGCCGTGCCCTGAGCACTGCTCCTGGCAGATGGGCAGTGATGTCTCACAGTTCACGCCGCCCCAGCCCGCGGAGCAGTGGCACTCCCCTTGAACGCACACGCCGTGACCGGAGCACATCGGATCCAGGCAGTCCTCTGGAAAGCAGGGAATGCACAACTTAAGAGAACTAAACACCTTTACGGCAGTTGCCCAGAGACATCCAGCAATAGAGATTAACTGCAGACTGAAATGATGGTGACTAAAACACAAGAAAAAACTGCCTATAGTAACACCTGTGCAAAAATATAAGCTAAAAAAGGGAAAAAAGTCAAGTGCATAGACTCATGGAGAACATGGTTCTACTCATTGCAGATACTCTTATATCTGTCGATCTAAGTCAAGGCAGTATGGATTTCAGCAGCGGAGCTGGGAAAGAACTGGAGCAATTAAATGTTATTTTTACAATTATGCGTTGTGTTTTCATTCTGGTATTTGTGTTCTATGCTTTATTTACATTTGGGAAAAGACAGATTTATCGTTTCACGCTCCTGAGGAAATCTCTCTCTACAGCTGAGAATCTGGTAGGAAAAAAAAGGTCATCCACTAGCTCTAAATTGTGACTCTCTGAATACACACTGTGAAGAAATCTCATATTCTCATAAAAAGTATGTGCTGGGCAATTGAAGATAATGAACAGATTCATAAAAGTCGTAACATATTGATGAACGATTTGCAAACAGACAAAGAGCTAAATTTGTTCTCAATTTGGATTAAACCATTCTTAGTGAAAAATTCAGGAGCTCTGTAGAAGAATTTAAATCAGCTGGTTAGTCCCACATAATCAGCATATTCTTTCATCAAGATCCAGCATTTCTTTAACAAGATAGACACGAAGCAGAACACAGCCTGCCGTCTCTGGAGGCCACAATGAGGCTACAGAGCTAGAGAGGAATTCATGGGGTGTTTGAGCATGCAAAACAATTAGCCTATTCATATTAGATCGTGCTTCATACCAACGTTGTTAAAAAAGGCACTTTGGAAGTTCTTGTATGCATTTTTCAAGTATTAGACCAAATACAGTTTTAATAGTTAAATAGTACACTTAACAAACAGTATTTTGTATTACAAGAATGAAGAGATGTTCACTGTTTCAGCAGCAGAAGACTAAACGTTTCTCTTTGAGATTAAGAGCATCCAGTTTACAGCATCTTTTGACCTACGAATTAAGAATCAACGCTTTGTATCTTTGTGCCGCTGGCCCACAAGTTCAAGATCTTAAGTCAGCTCTTATTCTGTATCTTTTTTTAGCCTTCCAGGCTTGTGTGCAGTGCAGTGCAATTCTGAAAAAGAGAAATCAATATTTCTGGACAAAGTACCTAGGTTGCTCTGAAAGTAATGCCTCTTCTTTATTTCCGTGGAACTACAACAAAGAGCGCTATTTGATAGAGCAAATTCTCAACTACAAACACTCTTTTTCCAACACAGTCACGACCATTAGCTATGCATTCTCACCAGAGATGAACAGGAGCCTGAATGCTGCACTTGCAACAGTCTGCATCAGTGGAGATGTGCCACTGTCACCAGTGCTAAAGCACACCACCCAGCCCTGACTGTGCTCACATCCACTCTGTGGTCTCCAGAAATATTTGGCAAGTGTTGATGAACATCAATAGGTGTCATTCTTTCTGCAGGAAGGAATTCAGTGGCATCGCTTTGGTTCATCTTCACTTCCATGTCAGATACCACTCTGTCAGACTGCCCTTCTGCTGCCACCTGTCACACAGCCACACAATGGAACGGGATATTGGCAGGACAGTTTAGCTTCTACTGCTGTACCACCAACATCCACCTCTGACATCGTGGGCCAACATCATAAAATAGGAGGCATTACTTTCAGAGCAAGCCTCACTCACCTTGCTAAGCACAGCACAAAAATACTCAGCAATTTTCTTTTATCCTGAAAGACAGCTCTTGATTTTGCTGATCTTTTGAAACTGATAGCCTCCATAAGCAAGTTAAAAAGCATTATTTCTTTTAGTAATAATAACCTGACTGCACAACACTGAAGGTTGTCCATAGCTGTGAATACATACAGCTACTGGTGTGCCCTGGATTGAACATCTGTTACTGTCTGCTGCAGTCACAATGCAGCTTCAATATTAAACTCATATTTACATACAATATTCTAATTCCAGTCCCCGACAGAGTTACCTGCATTATTGTACCAGTTATGCAGCACAGTAAAGTAAATGGAATGGTCATGTCATGCACACACTATTACAATAAAAATCCACTCCACTGTATAGTTCTGTTTTATCTACCCTCTTCCTACATGATTCCACTTTTATTTTATAATTATTTTAAAAAATCCAAGGTTTTCATGCACTTGTTTTCAATAGCTGTCTAAGTACATTCATCTCAATTATTTTTTCAACCATTTTGTAGGACCACATTATGCCAACAAGCCAAGTAACTGCAAATGGCAGTCTCTTGTCAGCTTCAGGCTTATTTAGCATCACGGCCTCAGTGAGTATATTTGTGCATAACTTGCTTTTTCTCATCTGAGTTTTCTTGTTTTTTTTTCCATTCCTGAAACTACAAACAGCAGAGAATGTCAGAAATATTCTGTGGATCCTCCCTTTAGAAACCATATCAGGTATGTCAAATCCATCAAATCCATCCTGGACATTTTTCTGATTAGAGAATTCAGGCCACAGAAGAGCTTCCTCTGTGTGCTACTCAAAAGAGTTACCTAAAATCTATATAGCAGGAAGCACAAAGTATGCTGGCACTAGCTTCAGGCTAACGGTACTACTGAAAAATCATCAAATCAGGGCAAGCATGAAGAACAGCTCTGCTTTCCGAGGCTATGCACAGGGGAAGAAAGTCATAGCTGATGAGCTATCTCAGAAATGCCAGCAGCCAAATAACAACTGTTTCTGTAGATGAGGGCAGAGACACATCGGTACTACAAGCAGCTGAAGTACAATTACTTCTTCTCGTAATTTCCCACTTTTTATTAGCCAAGCTTTAAAGGATGCCAGTTTAGTACCCTGAATAGAGGCTCACAGTAAAAATGACATATGACAACAGAATTACACAGCATGCCCTGCTAAACTGAACCTGTTCGCATCTCAAGATGCAAAAGAATGAAGAAAGGGAAAAGATGATTATGATCTGCTGATTACTTTGGAGAAACACCAGAGCCTATTTTGTTTAGGTCATCTTCTGACTGCCTTATCTCCTTAGATTTTGGCAGAAAAGAAAGAAAGAAACAAACAAAAAGCGTCTTTGACAATGCACACTAAGGGACTGAGGTTTCTGGCACAAGGAGCCTGGCAATCCCAGCTGTCCTTTCTGAAAGAAGCATCAGGGTCTTGAGAGAAAAAAGGCAGAAACAAACATACTGGGATGGTCTCACTGCTTTCTCTCAGAAAAATGTTGTGACATTTTCCTTACTGGATTGAGAAGCCCCTTCTTGCTGAAAGGCAACAACATCCCCCCGGTTCTTGCTATCAGGATTTGGAGGAAGTGAAACCACCTGAGAATTCATCGTGGACAGCATTTCAGAGGACTGCTCATGTCCCACTTACTAGGTATACTTATTAGACAATGTTAAACACTTCTCATCTTTTAGAATACAAAATGTTTTATTCTTGGAAATTGTGTGATTAACCCCCACTGACTGTCACTGAGACCTGAACGCCTTTATCTTTGAAAATTTTCTATCTCACATTCCTCTCCCCGAGACTTTAAAGATGCTTTTGTGAAAAGGAGCATTACCTTACAGTAAGTCTCTCACATCTGTGTGAGTTTTAACTACCTTAAAACAGCTTTGGAGATTAAAGACTGAAATGAAACTCCCTAACTATAGAGAGGGAAACTTCACAAACCTTCCTCACAGATCTCCCCTTTGTATCCAGGGACGCAGATGCAGACTCCCATGATACAGGTGCCGTGGCCAAAGCAGGTCGGGTCGATACACTGTTCCTCAGGAACATCACACTCTGGTCCTTTCCACCCATTTCGACACACACAGTGACCTTTCTCATATTCTCCATTTCCACTACAGAGCACCGGGCAGGAATCTGAAGAAGGCAGATTGACCTTTTTAATATATTTACATTCTTACATAGATTAACATTTATTGCATTTGTCATTCTGTAAAATCACTTTTCCACTCCTGCTCTCCCAGTCCTTCACTAGATTTGAGGACTGTGACAAAGAAGTAGTGCAGCAGTGATCCAGGCAGCCTAGTATCCTCAGCCTGCTTCACTACCATACTTAATTTTGACTTGAAATGGGACATCTTGGAAGATAAAAATCCCTCCCCTTGTTGGGTCTCTGCAGAAATTTTGCACAGTGATGCCTGCTTATCATTTTTTTAACATTAATATTTGTTCCCTGCAAAGCAAGACAGTGCCTTATTCTTTCTTCTAAGCAAACCTCTTACTACCCAAGTTTTTAGCCATTGCTGAGCTACAAGCACACCACTGATATGGAAGCTAAGTTTTACAATCCACTATCAATTTCAGACCCAATCAATTTCATAACACATGAAGTCAATCTAAAATTTGAGGAAACACAGGAAAAACATGAGAACCTGCAGACAGAATAGATGATGGACAATACAGAAATAAGATCACATGATCTCTTTAGCAAGTTTTTCTCCATGTGCTGAAAAATCTCTATATTGGTTTAGGATTTCTTTTCCACACCTATTCAAGTTAAGATCATGGAAGCATTCGACTGACATGTGAGATGTTCTCTGAAGTGAAAAAGTCACTTTTAAATAACTGTAAACGCCGTGTTCAGCTGATGCTCTCAATTAAAAAAAATAAAAAATCACAAAATGGGTGCAAAGAGCGATGGAGGAATCTGTTGTCTCTGCAAGTCATGGCGAGAAAAGTTGTTGAGGCATCTTAGCTAAAGTACAGCATAAAAAACTTTCTATGCCTGTGCTTGTGGTGCATTTGCCATCTGTCTATAAAAAGGAATCAAATCCCATTTAATGACTTTGAATCTTTGTAAGCTCAGCCATCACACTCCATAATCACGATTCCTGTCCTGCACTGCAGGTTGGCTGATATGAGATTACCTTTTGCACAATCCGGACCAAGGAATCCTGGGAAACAGTGGCAGTGCCCCGAGATACATTCTCCATTCCCATTGCAATTAGTAGAGCAGTCATCCAGGACTTCTATTATTCAGATTGTCATGCAGAAAGGAAAACACAAATTAGTTGAATTTGAAAAGCATGGCATCTTCACCCCGCTTTGTGGGACACATCTCAACATACAAATAGGTGAGGAAGCAGTAAAAAGCCCATTTCCATTCACAGGAAGAATAAAACAAGATTCCTGTTCAAGCAGCTTACAAATATTAGATTTTGTCTTGACAGCTTTGAGATAATAAGTGCATCATTCATATTACACCAGAAAGCTTTTAAAGTAAGTGTTCATGTAAAATTTACCACCATTAAAAGCACTGCAAGAACCAAAGTATTTGTGGAGAAATGTTCACCTTAAACACTTTCTTTTACTGTTGAAGTAATTTGTTGGAAACTTGTCTATAGAGTGTATCATCTACTATGGTGCTCACTCGAAGCATGTGCATTGCATTCTTTGGGGGAAGGCAGGGTTTTCACTTTTATACAAGATGAAAAAACATCTTCCATAAAGCAATACAATTCAAGGCCTTTACAGGCCTAACAAGAAGATTTGAAGAAAAAAAATCCACCTTTAGGTCTAATCTTAAACTACTGCATGCTTCATCATACAGCGTTGGATAGGAAACCACTTAACCTCACACGTCTTGGGGCAGGCTTATGTCTGTACTTCTGTTAGCTGTCCTTAATCCACACATGTATTTCCTACAGGATTTCAGTGGATTCAATGACTTAGATGCATTTTATGTGAAAAATGTGAAACAAATGTAAGGCTAAGATGCTTCCAAGATGGGTCATAAGCATACGCTACCATTAATATGAATAACTGAAGTCAGTTTATTTTGATCTTATTCATGGACACTTGGGCAGACAAGAATTGATTCCTCTGGAAATCTTGTACTGATACTGAAAAACATTAATTTCCTTCCAGGCTATCACTTTATACCGAAAAACGGGCATTTTCTATGTAACTGCTCATCAGATATGCACAACCTAGACATAGATATTTGTTTCAAGGTCAAGAAATTAGCCTTATTTTTTTTTTCCTTTTTCTTTTTTTTTTTTTTTTTTTTTTCCCCAAAAACAAGTTTTTTGCAGATATACAGCTTGTTATTAATTTTTACATATTACTGTTCATTATCAACTCTGCTCCTTGCCTATTGAGAAGACAGAATCCCTAGAATCACATGATGACTACTACCCTACCTGACGACCCTACCCTACACTGACTTGAAGAATTGGCTGTTCGAACAGTTAATTCCGTGGGACACAACGTCCAGTTTGGACTGGCCTTTATTCAGTCTATTGAAGTACTGGAGGCATGACAGATTTTGCAAGCAAATTACACACCATCCCACTCCCCTGTGAGGGGAACTCGGATCAGAGCTTTAGGTAAAGTGTCAGCAAAATCAATTTTGTACAACACTGATATCCAGCAACTGAAAAGACTTCCTAATGGATGCTCAAGAGGAGGCCAAGAGTGCCTCACGCAGCCAGCAGTGACATACAGCAGAGATGCGTGCCAGCTCTCATACTGACTGTTTCAGACTGCAGTCTTGGTTGATTCAGTTGTTGGTAGAGTGGTAAAATATGACTCTTGCCGTAGACACTCCCCAACGTCCGTGGTAAGGAGCACAGCTCAAGGATCAGAAGATGATTAGATTTTTTTTTGTGACTCCCTCTTCTCCACCCTCCACTCCCCCACCCCCCAAAAAAAACAACACAACAACCAAGAACCACTGTGCAAAGAAAAATATAAGAAGAAGATATACAGGCTGTGAAACCACAATAGCTAGCAGTATGTTCAAATCCATCAGCAGTAGATTCTTGCAGCATGAAGCCTCATTTTCCCCCCAAGTTCTTTCTACCCAATTTCTTCTCACAGCCATTTATCAGGTTAGTGGACTCCTGTCCATCCCATGGCCCTCACTGTTCCCCTCCATAAGATTCAGCGTGTTCTGCTTATTGGCCAGAGAAGGGATAAGCAGCTTCTTCCTCACCAAATTTAATGGGAAATGAATTGCAGTATTCAATTGCATCTATCATTATTATTTTTTTGTGTGTGTGTGATTATATGCTACTCAGTGATGAAATACTGTTTAGACTCCCCTGTATAAACACTGCTGTGTTAAAGTAGAAATAAACAAGGGGGTAGACATTTGGATTCTGATCTGGACTGGAGTTTGGCCAGGTTTTATGCTCCTCATTGAGCATCTGTGAGCATGCTTCATAAATTGCTTGAGAATTATTTTCTCACATAACACTGAACAATTGTATTTCTCCCACCAGTAAAAGATTCACGCTTCTCCACAAAGCAAGTATGAACTTTTAAACATAAAAAACTCATTGCATTTCTATTTCAGTTTTAAAATAATTCCTGTAAGTCCTTCACCAGTCTTGGTACTTGAATCATACTGTCCTGCTCCACAAGGTGTTTACCATCAAGTAAAAATAGCATCCAATTGTTCTGAAGAGCAGATGGCATGTCCATTACTAGTAAAGACATCTTGCTAAAACATATGGCAGAACAGGTTAACTAAAGGGCAAAGTGGTTAAAGTCTTGCAGCAAAGCAAGGCACTCATAAATACAACACTTCACCTGAAATGAAATTCCAAACAAACCCTATGTGTGAGCACTGCTCTGCAACAACACTTAGAGTTGCAAACATTTGTCCACCTTTATTTATTAAGGAGGCAACAGGGATTTCATATCCCACCAGCACAGGGTCTCCTCTATTTGCCTTTGAGTTCCAAAGAAAATGGTGCAGTTGGATGATTGTATAAAACAACAGCAAACAGCAGCAATCAAATCCACAAAAGCATCCTTCTAGATTTTCTAACTGATTAAAATACTGAAAACACAAACATATAAGGTGTGGATAATTTCTGTATGATTTATGGTTCCAGGGTAAATAGACAGGGCAGACATATCCTCTTTCTGCTTTGAGCAAGATAACACCAGAAATTACTCAGCTATTTAAGCTATTACATGAAAGTTTTAAAACACATGACAACTTCACACATAATTAATTTAACATCCATCTTTAACACACAAATGTTTCTATTTGCCTAATATCAGCATAAATATGAAGTTACTCCACTGAGGTTAATTAAACAGAACTGAAATAAAACATTTTTAAGAGAATATTTAAGAGACGCTGGGATCAACGATCTACTTTCAGATGCAGCTTTCCAATGCAGTAATCACTGTAGCAATTTTACTGTAATTGTTCTTACCGATTGCCGTGGTCAGCACAAACACTTGCTCCACTTTCTTTCCATCGTTGTAAAATGCCATATGCCAAGCACCTTGATCCATGTACTCAATGAAGCCTGTCTCTTGTAGTGAAGTTAAGATCAGATTCCTGGGAGCTTGCTGAGGCTCCTCTGAGTTTTTTGGTTCCTGCTTAATTAACTGCTTTCCATCCATCAATTTTACAAAATCAAACTGAAATAATAATGAGCAACAATTAACCACCTAGTAAATTTTTATGGAATCTGCTCTCCGTGTCTCATTCAAACAGCAACAAGCAGCTGAAATCTCGAGAGGAATGGCCTGTTTGACTAAATGTTCATCAGTGTGGACAGTAGTTGCATAACCTGGTCTGTTTAGCATCAGTTCTTCATTTCAGATACAAAGTATTATGGTAGATCAGAAATTTGGCACCAAAGCTTGCTGCCTGCTATAGTAGAGTAAATTCAGACTTGCTGCACTAAATGTAGCAAACTAACTTCAAATTACATCTCCTTCATGGGAATAATTCCAAAATTCCTAAGCTATAGTGCTTAGGCATCTCAAATGCAAAAAAAAAACAGATAAAATGTGCTATTCTTCCATACAAAATTTTAAAATATCTCTTCCTATATATCGGTATCAAAAGCTATTTCTACTTTTTATTTATAATTAATTTGACTCATGGCAATAATTGACTATTTTGTGACATGGAAACAATATTGAATGGAGTTGATTCCAACAATTGATTTTCAGTAAAGTTCAAGTTCAGCTCAACTGAAGGCCCGCTTTTTATTAAAGCCAATGATAGCTAAAATCTCTCATTTTTAAGGTCTAACCTCCTGTAAATCGTTTTTGAGGTTAGACTACACAATCTCCACAGAATCACAGAATTGCATGACTTGGTAGGGACCTCTGAAGACCCCTCAGTCCAACTCCCTCTGTTAAAGCAGCTCCCTACAGCAGGTGGCACAGAAAAGCGTCCAGGCAGTTGAGATGTCTCCCAAGGAGGAAACTCCACCATCTCTCTGGGCAGGCCATTCCAGTGCTCTGTCACCCTCACAGTAATGAAATTCTTCCTCTTGTTCTTGCAGAACTTCCTGTTGCATTGCCTCCTACAACTTCCTGTACCCTGAGTAAGTTTGCAGATGACACCAAGTTGGGAGGTTGTGTCGATCTGCCTGAGGGCAGGGAGGCCCTGCAGAGGGATCTAGGTAAGCTGGATCGCTGAGCTGAGATGAATGGGATGAGGTTTAACAAGGCCAAGTGTCGGGTTCTGCACTTTGGCCACAACAACCCCAGGCAGCGTTACAGGCTTGGGGATGAGTGGTTGGATGATTGTGAAGAGGAAAGGGACCTTGGGGTGTTGGTTGATGCTCGGCTGAACATGAGCCCACAGTGTGCCCAGGTGGCCAAGAGGGCCAACGGCGTCCTGGCCTGCATTAGAAATAGTGTGGCCAGCAGGAGCAGGGAGGTGATCATCCCCCTGTACTCAGCACTGGTGAGGCTGCACCTCGAGTACTGTGTTCAGTTTTGGGCCCCTCACTACAAGAAAGACATTGAGGCCCTGGAGCGTGTCCAGAGAAGGGCAACGAAACTGGTGAGGGGTCTGGAGCACAAGTCTTATGAGGAGAGGCTGAAGGAGCTGGGATTGTTCAGTCTGGAGAAGAGGAGGCTCAGGGGAGACCTCATTGCACTCTACAACTTCCTGAAGGGAGGCTGTGGTGCAAAAGGGTCTGGCCTCTTCTCCCAGGCAAATAGTAGGACCCGAGGAAATGGCAAAAAGTTATACCAGAGGAGGTTTAGGTTGGATATTAGGAGAAACTTTTTCTCTCAGAGGGTGGTCAGGCACTGGAATGGCTGCCCAGGGAGGTGGTGGAGTCGCCATCCCTGGCAGTGTTCAAGAGGCGCCTGGATGAGGAGCTACGAGAGATGGTTTAGTAGCTTGTGGCACTGATAGGAATGGGAGGGTGGTTGGACTGGATGATCTTGCAGGTCGTTTCCAACCTTGTGATTCTGTGTGATTCTGTGATTCTGTGATTCCTGTGTTCCAGATTTTGCCTACTGCTCCTTGTTCTGTCATTTCCAAACAATCTTTCTGTGATTCTGCATCTGAGTTTATCACATGTGGTGTAATCCTGCTATCAGACAGCAGAAAAGCCTATTATCATCCATTGAAATGAGAGCTTCATATGCCAAATGCATTAAGGAAAAAAACCCAGTTGAATGTAACCAGCAATACTGCACATTCTTTTTGCGGAGATAGCCTTTCTCCTGCAAATCCCCTGCAAAAAATAATAGTTGTATCAGAAACCAGAATTATAAACAGCACTTTTTCTTCCCCCCTATTTACACTGACTGTAGTCTGCTTGCTTTGATGAATACACAGAAAGATGAAAGCATTTTCAAATGAACTGGGAACTGGTATTTCATGCCACTACCCTAAGAGAAGATGCTGGATCTACACACTGTGCACCTGTCCAGGCTCCCACAGTCATCTGGCAGTGGTCAGAATTGCTGATCTTGTTGATACAATGCTGCCTCTCCATCTGAGTGGGTGTATTTTCAGGGTTCAGCTACACCTCAGTAAAAGAATGAGATGAACAAAATGCTCTGTGTGGTTACGGTCAGTTCTTTCCTTCCTCCCTGCTTTGCAAGTGCATCGGGAACACTAGCAACCATTGCTCTTTGAAACTGTAATGCACGATACCATTGCTAGTAATTACCTGAGTGTGAGTAGGTGGAATGTTTCTTCTGCCATAAATTCCCAGCAGAGAATCCTTTGCCAGTGAAATGTTAAATTTCAGGTACACAGGGTGATGGATGGTGATCTGAAAGCGCCAGAATAAGCCGGGTGGGATTGTTTGCATAACTTGTGCTCCAATCTCAACTTCTCCTGTGTCTATGGCCCGTCCCTTCTGAAACACTGATTTTCCAGAAACAAAGAAAGCAATCAGTTACATATTCATAAGGGGGAGAAAATACCACATCAGATATAATAAATAACATCTACACTGAGGACATTTCTTTGAAATCACTGTATTTCTCATTCAGCTAGATGAAAAATAGAAATGAACTTGTGTGCAGAATTACCACGATGGGTGTCACAGCATGTTTTTACCTCGGAAATCCTGGAACACTTTACTGACTACAAAAAGGTACCGGTGCTGCTGCAGGAACCACGGCCTTTGCGTCTGTCTATCAGCTGTGCAAACAGAACCCATTTGACAGAGCGTGGAGAGCACGCAGCAGGACAGCTTCCTCTGGCACGGCGCTCCAGCTACTGCCGGATGGGCATTGCATAAGCTGCACAAATGGACACCGGCGAACAGAGAAAAGCCATCAAACTGCTAGGTTAGAGCCCAAGCCTGGATTTCTGTTAAGCACCATTCCAGTGATAACCCAGTCCTAGAGAAATAAGGAACATCTGTTTTTGCTTGGATTTTCTGCACAAAAGCATAGCAGGGGCATAAAGACGGGGATAGGCAATTTAAAGGGAAAACTGGCATCATTTTGTAGAGCCTAACAATAAATCTGCAGACATCTACAGTATGCAACTTCACATGTGGGTATGAGAGAGCTGAAATAGAAAGGGAAATGAAATGCATAAGGAAGCCACTGCCAAACTAAAACAGAGCTCACTTGCTTTGCTGGTGTGTATCACCATCTTTGTCTATTTTAGTGCCTGCCTGTGATCAGCATCCTGACATGCTGCAAGCTACACTAGTCCTGCTAACATCTGAGCTAACTCCTGCTAACATCTGAGCTAACTCCTGCTAGCATCTGAGCTAACTCTACTGAAAGTTTTGCAAAACTCTAAAGCTTATTTGTAAGCTTTCTCTCAAGTAGAAAAAAAAAAAGGACAGCATGCTACAATGGAGAGTGGACCAAGAGATCAAATTCAGCAGCCATATCTATTTCTGTGTCATTTCCACATGATTCCAACATCGTGGTGATGGATAAAGAGAAGCAATCAATGTGACTGGAGATTCATTTTTTTACAATAACGCACAGAAATATAGGATGCAAAATAATGTACATGAAATGATATAAATTGTCCTTGGAAACAAACACAGCAGTAGTGAAGCTAGGGCCAGATTTTTCCTAAACATATTAATAACAAAGATCCTCGGTGGGATCTTTCAATGGATTTAACTTGTGTAGGAAGTACTTAGCATTCTTAATGAATAGAGATTTAATTTACAAGGCAGGAGCAATCCTCAGGGTACTGGATCTTCCAGTTTATGGCTGCTTTGCGTCATGGGAAACAAAAGCACAGCAAGAACGAGGAGCTGACTTTTAACACCTTACTATATAAAAGCATGAATTTTTGGAGCACAGAAATTGTTTGCTAGTACCCTAAAAATATATCTGTTCCTTAATTAACAAGCTAAAAAATTCCCAAATCACTGCTTTAGCAATATTCAAGGTGAGAATTTTTTTTTTTTCACCTCCTTAGTGAAAAAAGTTGTGTGTGTTGAGTTTTGAGAGGAGATTTAAATGTCTGGTGTAGCTGGGCAAAGAAAGCGAGTCCCTCCCACTCCAGCCCATACATTAGATCCCACTCAGCTGATGTAAATTTAAAAACCTTTTCCCTCATTTCCAGTACTCCAGAGATATTAAATCTTAATGATTCTTTGCAAGCAATTACCCTGGGTTAAGTAAAACACTAAGGAACTTTTTGGTGATATTGACACATGGTAATTAACGTGATTCAATTACAAGATGGTGGAGCACTAAGTAAAAAGTCAAGGATACAGTATCATTTTTGAAGTTAATGGCATTATTGGTCCATGTTCAAGGTCTTTTAAAATACAGTAACTGCCTTTGAGTTTGTTGAAGTGAGGCAGCCTACTTCGTCGTTGAAAATGAAACGCAAAAGGCCTTTACGTAGGGCACAGGCATTCTTTGAGAAAGTATTTTCACTAATTGGTGTTATCAAATTATGCTGAATAGCAGTGAGTGTTGCTAGGCTCAAAGCAACACTTCCCTGAAAAGTCATTCCACGTTCAGATGAAAATGTTGTTTCAGTAACGACTTCATATAATTAAAAAAACCCCACACATGTACTTGGATTTACTGCTATTTCTCTGAAAGAAGTGCATGCTGTTGTTGACAATGCTAAAATGAAAAAATCCACGTTATCTTCCACCTACTGAAAGCAGTACCGGCAGCACCCCTACCTTTCCAACACTATTTTTTCAGATAACCACGCAGCATGAGAAGGCGACTGTAAGCACCACATCTGAAGTGCATTTTCATATTCATCAAGCCACTGTGCTCTCCTCTATTGAAAAAACAATTTAGCTCTGTTTTTGTGCTTAACTGAATGAAACAGGTATTTGGCCAAACAAATAAGGCAATGAAGATATGCTATTCACAGACTATCCTCAAATGCTTTCTTACACTTTCTTGTGAAGTCCTAGGTAAGCAATTAAAATTACAGTGTTGCAATACAATTTCTACACTTGTTCTGAAAGCTTCTTTCTCATACCATTTTCCCCACGACAAAATATCATTTAATTACCTACGTTCAATTCCTAGTATTGCTCCCAGTCTTACAAACTGGTACTAATCCTTCCCCATTCTTCCTAAGCACACTTTTCTCTACAATTCTAAAACAGAAGATAGACTCCTAATCACAGGTTTCTTTTGGCTTCAAGAAAGTAAAGCTCTAAACAGCATGGTGCCAATTATCTTCACAAGAAAGAACCCATATGCTGATTATTACTGATCCTGAAACAATCAATCTCCTTGTACTCTCCTGGTAAATATCAGCATCGATAGGACGTCTGAGATTTTAATCACATTGCTACATATTAAAACGTTAACTCATAGCCATGGGTCACTGTGTTATAAAATGACTTCTTAAAGAAATCTGACTTGCTGGTTTGTAAATTTGATTTTCATTAGAAAATTAGTTAAATATATGCTTTCAAGGTCTGGTACAGCATCTCGTGCTGTTGCACAGAGTTGGGAAAATAGGGGGTCACAATATCTGATAATATTTATTTATCCTTGTGAAATCACATTAGAGGCTTCAAGGCAAAGTATCAACTTTCTGTGGTACACTGTTGAAGTGAGGGGAGTTCCATGTTTCTAGTCCTCCTTTCAAGACATCAGTGTAGAGTATTTGGCACAAGTATTGAGTATAAAATTACTGATACATATTAAAGATGATGGAAAGAGAGAAAGATAAGAAGGGAGGAAGGGAGGAAAGGAGAAGGAAACTATCAGAAAGCTGCCAGAGAGGTAGATTATGCACGTATCAATGCTTTGCACTGAGTCCACATGGCTATTCTTATGCTTCCTCAAGCGTATAGCCTGGATTGTAGGTTTCCCAAAAGGTGAAAGACAACAAGATGGACAACAGTCTACCTATGTTCAAGACTGACCCCATAAACTACCAGATAAGCCCTTGGAGAAGTGGCTCTGGTGTTACAGCTCTCCACACTTTAGTGTTCTCTGAGAATTGTGACATTAGGATCACTTGAGACAAGGGGCTGTTACTTATTTATTTAAACTACTACATTGTGTTCCCTATTGACTCATTTGAGTCTCTTCTCTATTATCAAATATCTAATTTCTAGGATCATGTTTTGATGTTTTTCCTATATCTTCTCCTCTGGAAGCCAAACACTTTGGATGGGTTTTTATTAAATCTGTAATATATTGGTAAAGTGATTTAATGCACTTTAGAAGAACTATTTGAGACATCTTAGACATTTTCCATGGTGCACCAGGAAAAAATACAAAAGTGTATAGAACATTTACTGTAATTCACTGTCAATCCATTCTAAGAGAAGAAATAATGGATAACAATACTATTGCGCCCTCATATATATTTCTGCTGCTCATTTATCTACCACGATCTCTATCCAGCTGTGCCACATTGATTTGTAAGACTACTGATGTGAGATGCAATCTTCCTTCTGGACAGAATGGTACAAACCCTGCCCCACCTTGTCTCATATTTAGAATCATGTATCTAACCTTGCAGACACAGAATCAAATCATTGCTCTGCTATAAATGCTGGAAATTCTGGAAATCTCCCACATTGCAGAACTCTCAGTACAGTTTTACTTTCCTTCTAACAAATGAAAGACTAGGGTTAATCTTCTATTTCTATTCATTTTTCTCTGATATAATCCATCTGATTTAACAACTTTTTCTGAGTATTTTAAAAAGCAATGAGAGCTATATCTGCTTCTTAGAGTCAGAAAACATCATCTTACTGTATTATGTAGTGGTCAATGGAAAATATGGGTCAGGGTTTCTAGCTAATATTGGGGTAGGTGAGCTAACAACACTGAATTAGAGACTTGAGAAAAAGGAATGATGCAACCTTTCAACAGCTCTGTTCTATTTTACATTGCTGGCTGCACAGTCAACCCCTTCCCCGTGCCAGCTCTGGCACTTCTCTGCCCCTTCAGAACAGCTGGTTCAGCCTCTAAAATGGCTATACAAGACTATTCGCCATACCGCCAAAGCTATTTTCTGCCACCACAGTATGCTGAGATGCTTCACTCATGCCCAAGACAATTACTGCATTAGGCATGGGGCTGCAGAGAGCAGTGCTGTGGGTCCATCTCCCCGCTGCCAAATTGGCTCGGGCATTTTGTGAAACCCCAGGAGGTTCCTGCATGCTGATTCAGTATGACTGGTTAAGGCAGGATGTGGCAGGATGTGACAGGATGCTGTATTTTAGTTTATGCCTTCAAGAACCGGATGCCTCTAAAAGCATTAGGATTCCTGCCCTTCTGCATATTCTGAACTGTCAGCACAAAGATTTTCGTGTGGCTCAGACTGGCTTTGGTCTTCAAGACATGGGCACGGCAACGAGCCCTCAGCACAGTGAGGGGATGTGGCAAATGTACTCTCACCTTCCCTCTCTAACAACAGAAGCCAGGCCCTCTAACCTCTCACAAAAGAAAGACAATTACTTTGCTATTCAACATTACCTCCTTAATGACTTGGGTCAGCTGCTAATTTCAGTGAGAGTTCTGATAAAGCAAACAATCAGGGTGTGGGATTCTGACATCTGTTTTAAAATTGTTCCAGAGAAGCTAGAACCTGACTTCAAAACATTGCCAAATTGCAGAAAATATGGAACCTGAAGCATAGAAATATTTAAAAGTTCCTCACCTGTCTGTCTGCACCTTTGCACATACCTTTTTTTTCTGTTTTATCAGAAACTTTTCCTCCGATCGGTGAGAAAGTAGTATCCGTGGATTCTGCTCCCTTATTTCCTTTGCTAACTCCATTTTCATACAGCTGCCCTTCAACAGGCTGTAGCTGCCAGGTTAAACCGAACAAGTGTACTGCTGCAAAAAAAATGAAGACCAATTAATTGATGTCTAAGCTACAGCACCTTCAGTCACATAAAGAAAGAATGCTATGACCCAGTTTCTGCAAAGTCAAGTATTATTTAGTTCTGTTAGCAGTAAATCAGAATTTCGAGGGTTCTAATGAGCAATTTACTATTTTACCTTAAAACTCAACGTTTAATTAGGTTCCACACTTTCTTTTGGAGATCAGCCAGGTCAAGGTGATGAATTTCTACAGCAATTAATGGAAGGAAATACTTGCAATTAAAAGGATAACAGCTGAATGCCTTAAATATTGTGTGACAGATTCTAATGCTTCTTCAGTGCTGTCCCACTGCCTTCAGCTGTCACAGTTTGTTGGATTAAAGCACAGCCACCAAGTAAAACTTTCCAACCCATCTCTAACTGAAACTTGTGCCCACCATATTCTCAGACCTTTTCAATTAGATCAGTTTAAGCACTAGTAAAATAGCTGACTTCAGCAATTTGCCCTAGAATTATACTGCAGATAAAATAAGCCAGGCTTTGGATAAAAAATATATACAATGTTATGTTGTAACACATTAATGGTAATATGCTTTTATTTATGTACGCACTGGGAAATCTATAATTCTTTTATGAATTTATCTCCATCCATAGCGTCTGCTTACTCCTTTTTGGCAACAAAGTCATTCATTTTTTTTCTGCTTTCTTCTCTGTTCTTTCTAATTTTAGGTACAGAAGAATGGTAGGTGAATTAAAGAAAACACACAACAAGAGAGGACCTTATTTTAAGCATACTATGATAGTAATGCAGTCATTTGAGACAATTACCTCGGTCTTACTGAGACAGGCAAATTCTTCCAAAGAAGACATTGCCTTAGCATTGAAGTAACTCAGCAGGGAGCACTGATGACCCACTAAAATATGGATTGAAGATACCCCCCACAGAGGAGCTGAAATCATCACAAAAGGAGCAAAACTTGAGAAACAGGTCCTTTAGCCACATGCAGCATTTTGCACTAAGTTCTGCCCACAGTGGGCGCCTAAAAAAGCACCATATCTTCCTTTCCTGAATTAGTTAGGAACCTCAGAGGCTCTCAAGAGAATTGAGGAGGTTCTAGAATGAGGCCTTGCTTTTGGAAAATACATCGTTTTCTCTGTATTGGATATGTTTTAAGAGAAAAAGAAATCTCACTATGGGAAACTTATCTATTTTCTACACATTTGCTCACGTCTCCCTTGCCTACTTCAAAGTTAGACTACACAGCAAAAACCCCATGCCTTCAATGAGTTCCTGGCAAGGGTTTGCCAAAACTACAACAGGAAAGCAGAAGTGTCAGTCTACAATCATTAATTTCAGATCTGTGCGCTCCGGGATCACCCAGCACAGACACATGATCTGAATTAAGCAAATGACAGCACTTCCATCAAATCAAGGAGGTGACACAGCCCAAGTACAAGCAATGTTTATATTTATGTTGGCTTTAAGTTGAGTGACCCAATTCTCAGTGAATTCTAAAACCGCTGCACTAGCACCAAGTCTGGGCTCTGAAAACACAGCTGAAAATTCCCACTCTCCAGAAGAAGTGCTGGAGGCTTTCCCCACTGTGCTAGTGGAGACATCTCCAACCTGAGACCTGCTGGACTGCTTCATATTGCATGGATTTGAAACTACCAAGGGACTGTGCCTTCACTTTGAAAAGGGTCTTGCAGTCAGATCACATAGACCTAAGCTCTGATCCTTCAGCTTATTAATGCAAGACAGATTACTTCTACTTACAGAAGGTACAATAAAAATCAGTGTGCCTTGATATCTCCAGAGCAGGCAGCACTGGCTCCTGGCTTGAGCTTCAGGGCATTATTATGATTTAAAGAGTTAATAACAAGAGAAAGGAACAAAGTGCAATGGGACTGGTAACTAATGCATGTACATTTCTTTATCCTAATGAAAATAATTATATGAGCACTTGAAACAGATCAACACCAGATGCAAAACATAACTGCATACATCAATAAGTTTTTAGTGGCTATACAATCATGAACATAGCCTAGTTGCTTTCTTATGCTATTTCCATTGTTGCTATTATTCATTTCCTAAGACAGTATTTGCATGTGCTGCAGAGGGTACATCACTGAAGCAAGTACTGAATATGTAATACATATTTTTCCTTACTGTATATCTTTTCCAGATAACACACACTATGCATTCATTTTGTCATCCATTTGCACCAATTCAAAGAGTTTGCTTGCTCAGTCTTCCCTTCAGGCTGGGAAGTGCTGTTGTTTTTATAGTTTGTGCCAAAGCTTGGCAAGCTAGCAAAACTGTTTGTATGCATGTTTGACAGTCTGTTTCCTTCCTGAGAAACACCAACTGCATTGTAGAGATGATGGTCTCTGCCAGCATCGGACTCTTGAATTCTACTCTGTGGGAGATCACATGTGATGCTGGTAGTGCAACTTCATGTTAAAGAACATTCCAGTCCAAACATTTGAACTGCTATGAAAATAAGATCCACCTGAATTAACTGAATTAAAAACAGGTTGTCACTGCAGAAAATTGCTCATCTTGCAATCTTTAAGTAAACCTGAGTTTCATTACATCAGTTATCAAGTTGGTGTCTATACAAACTACTGCTCTTGTCAGATTACCTTTGGATTCCGGCATGACTCTAGCAAAAAACAGACCACATACCACAGAGAGGCACTCATTCTTAGGGTCACTTTGTTCAGAAGCTAACTGCAGGGACTTAGCAGACACAGAGCCTTGTCTTCCCTTTATCTTTGCTGTGATACTTTTATGTAAATGTAATTTATACAAAACCTCTGTTTCCTGCAACATATGTGCATCATATTAAAAATACACAGGTATTTTACCAAACAAGATTAAGTAACATTGTCAAATCTTTCTCACAAATCTCTTGAGAAGTAGGCATATACAGAATTCCTTTAAAACACTCAAACTTTTCTTTTGAGTCATTCTCTCTGATTTTTCCAGCAGATCTCTTGCTTTTACTGTTTCTGCTTTACAAGGAGAAGCACAGACAGTGATATGGAATTGAACAATGGGACAGAACGTTATTTTCCACAGTGAAAATCCATCTGTAAAATGCTCAGCTGTAGGTCCCATGTGCAGTACACAAGTATAAGGCTTCACTCCACAGACCAAGCATCTGTCCAGTGCAGGATTGGGCTGAGTAGAGCAGGTATGTTTGTCTTCTGATGAAGATATCTGCTCTGTCCTCAAGATTTAGTCTTCCAGACTGATGTTTATTTAAACAAACCATAACTACAGCATTTTTGAGGGTGTGTTCTGACTAAGCATCGAGAACCATCATTACAACTAAAGATGCATTAGTTTACATAAGTCAAGCTCCTTAAATATACAGCCCTGAAGGTATGATGACTACATCGATACTATACGAAACACAAAAATAACTTTGGCTCTGGCCACTTGGCATTTCAGAAAAATTCCACCATCAGATACCCTGTATTTTGCATCACTTAGAATACCTCAGTTACCAGTGGGGTGCCTAAGGCCATTGGTGGATGCTACAGTTTCAAGCAAAACCAAAGACTGAGGTAAGTGGATGTTACTGTCATGGTTTCATTACAGCTTCTTAGGAGCCTCAGTATTCTTCACAGCTACAACAATCCTTCTTAAAGCTGCCAAGAATTGCAGTGAGTCACTGGGAGAATCAATCCAAGATGTCCCCTCACTGGGGTCTAAACTAAGCCTCTTGTCCAAAAACAGTGCCAGACTGTCACTGCTGGCAGCAACCACGCTTCTCTACCTGGCATTCTTCAACATCCAGCTTGCTTTCTGTCTCCTCGATTCTTCCATCTTACTTCAAATCTCATCTGAAAAGACATTCTTTTTTGGGTTGCTTGAACTTCCAGTATATTCACTCCTCTAACATGACACTATCACTTGATGCTATGTAATTTATGAGTTCCATTCTGCCACAAGCAAAGTCGTACGTTGCTCTCACTGAGGTGACTTGGAGGCAGGCAAATATAACTGAAGGCAAATTCTGACTCTCTTTACATAATGTTTGGAGATGGAGCTTATACAATGGATGCCAGCATACCTGTATTTTATTGAACAGTCCTGTTTAATTCAAAGTTTCAGATAAAATTGCAGTATAACAGAGGAAGTGTGTTTTTTTGTTTACAACATACATTATGGATGGCAGTCCAGATGCTAAATTTAGAGGCTTCTCTGTTCAATGAAGTTGAAGAGAAGAGAGGATACCACGCGAACATGGTGAAACTAAGCTTCTTCCTCAGGCACCCAGCCCTGGCTGGACCGCATGGCAGAGCTGCTCAGGGGCATTTAAGTGACCTGTCCTGAATACAGAGAATTCTACCTGCAGTGCGGAGCTTTTCTTGACTAATTTATTGTGCTTCTTAGCTAAAAAGTAATTTTTAGATATAAAATAGATCTCTTGCAAGAAGAAGATAAATTAAAGACCTATACCTTCTAACCTACCTATAATTTTCCTTCCTAGAACAAGGACACAAAAGGATAATATAGCTGTATGCCATCTAAGGAATTTTCTCTATCTAGAGGCAGATCTCTGGTTACTCAATTGCTTAAAAAGAGCTGAACTGGGCCAAAACTGTGGCACAGATATATATATATATATTTCAAACTGTTATTCACTGAATTCAAATAGAATTGCTCAGGTTGGAAAAGACCTTAAAGATCATCGAGTTCAACCACAACCTAACCATGCTACCCTAACTCTAACAACCCTCTGACAGATCATGTCCCTGAGCACCACATACAAACAGTTGTTAAACACATCCAGGGATGGTGACTCAACCACCTTCGTGGGGAGCCCATTGCAGTGCTTAACAACTCTTTCTGTAAAGAAGTTTTTCCTGATATCCAACCTAAACCTCTCCTGGCTCAACTTGAGGCCATTTCCCCTCGCCCTGTCACCAGTGAGAACAACCCCACTCTTGCTGTAAACACCTTTCAGGTACTGGAAGAGAGCAGTAAGGTCTCCCCT